TTTTTCGGCACATCCCTGCCAAAACCCAAAAAAAATGCAAACATTCTTCAAAGCATTTTCTTCCAATTTCCATAGCATTTTTTTCCAATTTGTGAATCTTGAGTCGTATACTGAGGAAGAAGAAGAAGAATAATTTCAAACTCGAAGAATATTCGCCGTCACTCCACAGCTACTCCACCCAAACTCGAAGCCGACTCTCCGGATCCACCACACTGCCGCCGCTGCCGTTGAATGCCACCACCACTACTATAGTTTCTGAATCCACAATTCCCGTCCACCAAAAACTGCTTTGCTGCACTTTTTTCTTTCTATCCGAAAGAAACCAAAAAAATCGCCGCACACCATTGTCGGAGAGAAGATGCAGGTTTGCTTATTTGTGTGATATTTCTTTTTTTTTTTTCTTTTTATTGTTTAAAATTGAAATATCACTAAAAACTATTAGGGATATTTTAGTCATTGCATACAAGTTAACCATCAATTTCGAATTAAGGAGCGGTGTGCTTCGTAAAACAAAACATAGGGGGATCCTTGCTAATATTTTTAACACTATGACTTTTTTGACAATTTGAAATTACACAGGGGGTTTTATGCAATTAGCCCTAAAAAAAATAAAATAAAAAAATGTAATTGGAATCTCCTGATTAATAAGGTGTATCAGAGCTGTAGATGATTAGACCCATGAAAGAAAGCAACAACCTGTTTCTATATTCTGACCCGACTTCCAATCACAAAATGGAAATATTCTCATCTCTTTCTCAACACTAAAACAACACTGTACGTGTACAACTGTCCACACACACACATATATGTGTTAGAATAAATAAATTAATTAATTAATCCAAACATATTTAAATTATCACGAGTTATCTTTTCAACAAGACAACCCAAAACACATAAAACGTAGATTTAATAAGTTTCAATTTTTTTTTATTACATATATTTGTAGATTAATCTCAATTATAGTTTCAATGTAACCGGTTCATACTTCCAATTATATTTTGTAATAATGAACTCAGATTCAGTAGTCGAGTCAGCATAGGGTTATGGGGGTCACGGTCCCCCAACTCAAAACTCTACATTATTAACAACCTCGTCAGAATTTTTTAATTCATTCGATCTTCATAGACTTAAAATCTTGACTTCACTGATGCTCAGATTGATTAATTATTTAAAGACTTGATAAACTAATACTCTAATTTCATTTTGCTTCTAATCAAAGTTCATTGAACCTAATAAAAAATAATTAATATAATCCACTAGTTAATATTGTTCCTTCCACTTCCACACATATGGTGTACGTATAATGTAGATAGATCAAACAAAAAGACTGATGAAGAAGAAAAAAAAAAAAAAAAAAAAAAAAAAAAAAAAAAAAAGTACACAAAACACATGCATGCAACCAAGCAACAGTGACGTACGGTGTCGTTTTTGTGTTATCATGCACATCACTTTTTGGAGACGCCATATAAAAAATCTTAAGGATTGGTAATCAGGCATATTTTGTCCTTGATTGGCAAACAAAATCCAGACAGGGACCTACCAGAAATTTTTCTGAATTTCCAGAAAGAGCCACTGCGAAACCGGTTTTAATTTTTGCCCCTCACAATATTGTGGGCTGCTCGCTCCTCCGTCCTCGGTTTCTTTTTTTCTTTTTCTTTTTTTTATTTATTTAATTAATTAATCATTTAGGGTTTGTTTTGTCTGCATCACTATTACGATGAAACATCGTGCATTATTGCTTGTACATTTCGATGACGACTTAGGAATATTCCATTTCATATGGTATACATGCTATACTTAGTGGCCTACCTTTAATTATTTTCACATATACATTTTTTAAATAACCATATATGTATAATATATTAAGTATGAGATAGAGTGTTTATATGATCTTTTAATACATCGATTTATAAGTTGTTACAAAGAGCTTATAAGTTCTTTTAAGGTGTTCGATAATTTTTAAAAAAGATCTTGAAACTTCAAAAAATAAGTTGATGGAGAGCTTTTAAGATCTTTTAAAAAAAAGTATATTTACTACATCGTTTTTATTTAAATCTTATAGTGAATAAAAGTAAGGTCATTAATTATTAAAAAACATTACAAACTAATTCTGAAAATATGACATAACAACTTATGATCAGCTTTTAAAAAATAACTTATCAAATGTAAAAACTCATCAACTGTTTAAAATAATTAGTTTAGCCAAAAACGACTTTAATATCGAGCCATAATTAAATTACTCTCTTTTCATATTTGACGGGCGTATAACTTACGAAATTACCCTTAAGTTCGATTTATTCACTAAAATACTAGAGTTTGATTTATAACACACCACACATTGCACAATTATATGAGAAAATTATTATAAAAAAAAAAAAAATCATAGTTAGGAGAGAGGGTGCAATGAATTTGGTATTATAGACAATATGATGAGCCCTACAAATAAATTATTTTTAGACCATTGGCGCAAAATTAGAAAGAAAGAGCAGAAAATGACACTTGATTAAAAAGCTTGAAAATGATTATGCTTCATGCATCCAAAATAGTATTGGCCCATATATATTTGGCTAATAATAAATGTCGTAATTGTGTTAGATCTTCTAATTGACGTGACTCAGACTAGCCGAATTGATCTGTATTATCACCACATAATATAATTATTATATTATTATATTATATATATATCGAAAAACCGCGGCGATGCTTACTCAATTAACCATTTCTGGTTTTTCGATCTTTTTCTATTAATATTTTCCCTTTTAATTAATGAAACGACCTGATAAATGTCGTTCGAGCTTCAGTAATATTGTTTCAATTATAAATGTTTTTTGATCATTTTTTACTTCAAATTTTGCAGAATCAGAAACATAGAATTTGTACACTTTTGAGTTAATTTTTAATCCAACTTGGATCACGCTGAAATTGGATGTCGGATGATAAACATTAATTTATCTAAAATTTAAATATGATTCTTGATGCATAACTTTGTTAGACGACATCCAAAATTTTAATGATTTAAACTGAATATATTAGAAAGTTTGGACTACAGTTTATTGAATTATATATATGTATACATAATTTATTGGAAAAAGTTTAGCAACATTTGAAGAATTGACAGCTTGAAATAGAGGCACAATGAGTTACAGCCACATGTTTATTTTTCTCAGGCAAAATATTCACGTGATGCTCATTTATATAGGGATGTTTCCCCTACCATAGCTTAATTATCACCTAAAAACTTAGAATTGAAACAAAAAAAAAAAAAAAAAAAAAAAATATTATTTTCTGTCTCTTTTCTCGTTATATTAAACAAAAAGGAAATAAATAAGTTACTAATTTAAAGAATTATTTAACGACTGTTTGCTTTTGTCTCACTAAATTATGTATCAAGTTTCGAAAGTGGTTTCTTCATCTGTAGTTTCAGGACATAGTTTTAGGTCTGGGTGCACACTGAGTGAAATAATTTAGGGTTAATTACGGTTACCTTTGAGGTAAGGTCAAATTATGAAAAAACCCCTCACGTTTTGGTAATTACAACCACTTCCTTCAAATATGAATCTTCTTATACGTACACCTTATGGTGTCAAATTCAACAAAATATTCTAGATTACATAGAATGTTCACTAGTTTGTATTCGTTCGTTGCAAAAAAATGTAATTCCTAAAGCACTACAATCTGATATTTACAAGTCAAGAGACACATCTTATGATCATCTGTGTTTCAAAATGTGGAGCACGAATGGGTTAAAATGAAGAATGTTCCACATAATCTAAAAGATTCTACAAAATTTGACACCACAAGAGTGGACGTGTAAAAAGATCCATAGTTGAGGGGGTGGTTGTAATTATTTAAACATCAGAGGGTTTTTCGTAATTCAATCTTACCTTAGGGGTTTGACGTAATTTACTCAATAATTTGTTTATTTTACAATATATAAATCGATAGTTTATGAATAATAATAATAATAATAATAATAATAATAATAATAATAATAATAATAATAATAATAATAATAATAATAATAATAATAATAATAATAATAATAATAATAATAATAGTTTCCCCAAGCAGTCAGAATCAGGAGAAACTTCAATCTGGGTATCTATTGAGATCCGGATTAATTTCATTAATATACGCAATTAATTACTTCATCGCTTTAACCCAGTTAGCAGTATAAAAATAGAGCAAAACTATGAACAATTATTATTAGTTTTTTTATTTTATTTTAATTTTAGCAACCAATAATCACAAAAGAAAAAACAAAAAACAGGTACAAGTTGCCACGCTAAACAACCCCTTGGCATTGTTATTCATGCTATATAAAAATAAAAATAAAAACAAATACATATAAAAATTAAAAAGCATCAACTGACATAAAGTTAAATGTCTTTTTTGAGATCAGATTTTTATTTTTATTTATTTTAAAATAATTTAATTTGATATAAATAATTAATAAATGAACTCCTTTTTTCGCTTCGGACAGACCATTGGGTCAAAGGGGCAACGTGACTTCAAGTATTGTAATAGTACTGTCTGATTGAATATTTTTGGTTATAAATAATAAACAAATTCATAGGGGCCAGCCTATTTACCACCTAGTCCACGTCATCAACTGTGTGAACCAAATATTCGATATTAATTAATTAATCCCCATATATCAAAAATTGATTTTTTTTATTTTTATATATATTTTTGTATTTGGAACAGCTCCATCATAGTGTAATAATTATAATCTAATTAATATTCCCTCTAGGTGTTACATTATACACTAAACTATGCCTTAAAAAAGCCTACTCCCTATCTACAAATAGGTAATTACTATTCATAATTATCAATTAATTATGTGTATAAGTATTATTATAAATTATTAAACCTTATCAATTATCATTGATCACCCTATATATATATATATATATATATATATATATATATATACATTACTCCAACTCTACCTCCTTCTATTCGCTACCATTTTTCCCATTTCTAGAGAGAGAGAGAGAGAGATCTAGAGAGAGAGAGAGAGAGATGGAGATAACTGAACAGCAGAGTATGATGATAGAAGAGTTAATTATGGCTCCAAAAATAGATACAAATTTTCCAAATGATCAATTTCTCCCAAATCATTGGAGCAATTTGAGTAATCCCTTCGATCAAACCCTAGAAAATAATTGGCATTTGCCATCACCAAATTACAATAATCCTTCCCCGATAATATCGGAGTTCAGTTACAACTACAATAATAACCCTAACTGTTCTTCTTTCGGAGAATTCCAGCCTTTTCTCGACGCGTTAACTTCGCCCGATTTCTCTTCGTTTTACGACCTACCGCCAATGCCAGCTCAGCAAGATTACGCAGCAACAACGAATTTCGTCCAAGACGAAGAAATGCGGTTTCTCGATACTTGTATCGATAATTACGGTTTCCAAGCTGGTGTCGAAGACGGTAGTACCACTCCTCAAAATCATGACATCATTATCGAGAAAAAGAGCAACAAATCGAAGAAGCCGAATAACGGGCAGCCCTCGAAAAATCTAATGGCGGAGAGAAGACGAAGGAAACGACTCAACGATCGTCTCTCCATGCTCCGTTCCATTGTACCGAAGATCAGCAAGGTAATTAATTTATTATATATATATATATATATATATAATTTTTATTATTATTATTATTACAAGATATTATAAATGAGTTTTTATAATTAGCTGATCTTAAGTATGTTAATTAACTAATTAATTAATTAAATTAGATGGATAGAACATCTATACTTGGGGATACAATTGATTACATGAGGGAGCTTCTCGATAAGATTCAAAATCTACGCGAACAAGGCGTAGACGAGAATACGAACAAGATCAATTTGAACGGGGCCTATTTGAAAGAGCTAAAGCCCAACGAAATAATGCAAGTCATGAGGAACCCTCCAAAGGTAATAATTAAATTAAATTAATTAATGTTTCCATTATTTATTACGAATACATAAACGTAATTGTCCGTAAATTTAATATTTGATAATTTTAAAAAAAGTAATTCCTTAATTTGGCGCAGTTTGATGTGGAAAGGAGAGACGAAGACACGAGGGTGGAAGTGTGTTGTACGGCGAAACCGGGACTATTGTTTTCGACACTTAGCACCATGGATGCATTAGGCCTTGACATTCAACAATGTGTTATTAGTTGTTTCAGTGATTTTTCTCTGCAAGCTTCTTGTTGTGAGGTAAAATTAAAATAAAATAAATTTACCGCATCGTTAATTTTTGTTGTTTAGTATTAATCCGCGGGGTCGAATTAATTATAATATTTTATTTTATTTATTATGTTTTCAGGTATCGGAGCATCGTTCGGTTGTAAGTATCGAGGATGTGAAGCAAGCATTGTTCAGAAATGCAGGTTATGGAGGAAGATGCTTATAACATGGAAAATAAATAAATTAAACGAGAATATAATGTGCCTTTATGTATTTTTGTTTGCCCTATATATTAGAATTCTTTTAGTGATATAATAATTAGATCTGGATCATGATTTTGTGTGTACGTACGATATGTATATATCTATAATATAATTAATTTAACATGAATATTATTGGTCTTTGATTGGTCAAACAATATTCTTAAAATACAAAAAAAGAAATATTGCATGTACAAACAAAATATATTCTGAACAAAGAATGTGATTATTATTTTCTTAGGCAGAGAGTTCTGGTCGGGAAATATTAATATTAATATTAATATTAATAGAAAATGTTTTCCGAGTCGGAAAGAAAGGCTTTAAAGCGTGTTTTGCGCACATGCGATTCTGCAACTACACGAGGCACTGACGTAAGTACATACGTGCGTTAGTGTGTGTGTGTGTGTGTACACTAGGCAAAATAGAAAGGAAAAATATCTTAATTAATTTGAGGAGGATTAATAAAAGTGGATCTTCAATGTTTGATGAAAGATAATATTCCTACGCATGAGATATATCATATATGTTTCGGATACAACTGAAACCGAAACAGATCGAAACCGAACCCGAAAACCTCGTGATGCTGCTCCAAAAATGATGGGTCAGCCCAATGGTCTTGAAGCCCACAGGTCTTCTAAGTCCGGGAATCTTCAAGCCCAATATCGGGAATGCCGAAAGTCCTTGCCACGCGTCCGAGGTAGTCGAAGGGATCGCTCCACTCGTTAACCTACAAAACAATTGAAAACACTAGGTGACACGCAAAAGTCAGAAAACAATTGTCCTCCGACGCTCAAGTCAGAAAACTATCACAATATAAGCAAATAATATTAATTAATTGCCTAAATAGTGCTTACCTTGTTATGTGATTGATAACACATATTTATAGGTGGAGTTTGGTATGGTTTTCTTGTAGAAAACCAATGTGGGACAAAAAATTAGATTTCTTCCCATAGCTTCTTATGAGGTTCTTAATTAAGTGCCTTTGTGTTGGGCTTTTCCTTTGAATGAGCCTCATGGGCTTTTTGGGTTAATGCCCAATTAGGCACATCATTAAGCCCCCCACTCCCAGGTTGAGCCACGGGCCCGTGGGTCTGGCTGGGAGTAATTAGGAATAGTCGCTCGAAGACGAAATAATTTTCTTGTTTTCCTTGAGTTTCAAGGTCGTAGGAAATTTTGAAGTCGGCTACAGGGATCTTGCAGAGGCGGGCGCTGCAGTTAGGTGATGATAATTTATGAAGGGAGGCCCATTTGTTGTACGGCGGCGGTCAGTCGCCAAAATTATTGGAGGAAGTTGTGATATCCCTTGGCTTTGTTGCCTAGTGAGAATCGCGCATTTCCTAAAGAATGAGTTATGTTTCAACTTATCATGCGAGACGGTATCCCTTGGCTATATAGCCTAATGGGGGGTCCATCTCTCGTAAAGAATGAGCTTTACTTTATCTTTTTAGCGGGGGCGAAATCCCTTTGGCTTTATTGCCTAGTGGGAAGCACGCTTTTCCTAAAGAATGAGTTATGCTTCATCTTTTTCGGTGAGACGGTGTCCCTTGGCTATATCGCCTAGTGGGAAGCTCGGCTCTCGTAAAGAATAAGTTTTTATTTTAACTTTTTAGGTAAGACGGTATCCCTCGGCTATATCGCCTAGTGGGAAGTCCGTATTTTGCACTTGGTGGTTGATC